TCTGTCCTCTCCCTGGCTGCTCCCCCTGCCCTTGCCCTGGAGCCAAAAGTGTGAATCCAGCCCTGGGGCGACAGCACTGCGACACCCGTGCTGGCTGCCGCAGCGGGGAGCAGCGCAGCCGGGCAGGAGGCCGCGGTGCGATGCTGCTGCGCCCTTTATCTCTTCACAGCTGCAGCTGAGCTTGGCAGAGATATTTCTGCTTTGCGCCATGCTGCAGGTGAATTATCTGCTCGTAAATGTTATCTGTGCCTTCCCGAGGGAGCTGCTGCCTTCCTCCCCTCCGCAGCCACCGTGTGCTCAAAGCGCGGTGTGTGTAATCAAGGCAGCCTCTGCTTTAATGCTTTTTGCTGCTGTAACAGCTGATCTCCGTGGCAGTGTTTCTGCTGCAGCTTCTGTATGTCCTGCACGCACCACGGCAGTTGGCGGAGGCCTTTGCAGCCGAGGGGCACTGGCTGGTGGTTTGGGGCGAGCGTGTCCATGCCAAAGCAAAGGTGCTCGCGGTTACTTTGCAAAGTTTCTGGAAAACGCCTCATGAAGGAAAATACTGTTTGTTTTCCCCCGCAGAAACACAAGCCCGAATCAAAGCCATCGGCCATCTCACCCTGTGGGGTGAGCCTGCCACGCTGCCACACCAGTAAGGAGACACGGGACGTTGCCAGTTTTAAACCATCAACGTTCTCGGAGCTGGTGTGTGGCAGCACCGAGGCGGGGGTAATGCAAAGGTAAGTCTGTGTATTTGCTGGGGTGCAGGGTGCTGGCAGCCACCCCAGCCCAGTGACGGGTGCTGGCTCAGCAGCTCCTCTGCTCCAAGCATCCTTTGGGCTTTGGGAGCTGGATGTGCCTGGTCCTGCTCCCCTGGCCCCGTGGTGCCCCGCAGCGGGGGTGGAGGGCAGGCAGGGCCCCTGCAGCGGGAGGGCAGGGGGTGACACGGGGGAGGTGGAAATTCACACGTGGAGATGCTGCTTGCGCTATTGCATAAATCAAGGGCATTTTGGAGAAGGTGATGAGGGCAACCTGGGGCTCTGGGCTGGGCAGGATGAGGCCTTGGAAGAGTTTTTAATTCCCCACGTCACACAGTCCAAGGGTGGGGGCTATGGCTGGATTTAGACCAGCGGGGTTGGGGAGAGGGTGGCCTGAGCTGGGGAGGGAGGTGGGCTGCAAGTACCCCCCACCAGGCTCTCTCCCTTCTGCCAGCTTTGCTCAATTATGGGAAATCCTTTAAGCTTTCGCATTAGTGCTCTAATTCAGCTCTGCGC